GAGGCTGGTTGGATTCAGACACTTGTTTTGGCCACTCAGGGTGCTCCCTGCAGCCTGGGGCTGGGTGAAGGGGCCAGTCGTGGCTCCTCCCCGCCGCATTTCACCAGCGTGGACCCAAACCCAGCTGAGCAAACCCCGTCCTGCTGTGCCAGTGCTGCCCAGAGAGCCCCTTTGGCTGTGCCACGCTCAGCCTGTTCTCAGCAGGAAAGGGTTGATTCCCCATCAGAGGCTGGGGCCGTGGAGTGCCCCAAACCGTGTCGGGGTCAGGGCTGTGTCCCTTGCCTTGGGATGAGGGACACAGGGAGGCAGAGGGGTGAGGGACAGGGGGTTGGTGACAGACGCTGCGTTCTCCCCCGCCAGGTTTCGTTCCGCTACCACTGCCAGCTGTACTCGGAGTGGCGAAGGACCAACCAGAAAGTCCGCCTGATGATCCCAGCCTCGAGGAGCCCTCACCCCGTGCCCCACTCCCTCCTCTCCGCCAAGCTCATGAAGAAAACCGCGGATGAGACGACCGTCTGAGCCACCCACGGGGGCCAGCCCGGGGCGAGGAGGGCTGTGAGTCCTCACGTGCCCAGGGCAGCTCTGGGGGCACCAGAAAACAATCATCCCACATGAAGGGACTCTGCGGTCAGCACCTGCTTTAGACTTTGACAAACAGACAAATAATCAACGTCTGTGTGTGAAATGGCCCAAAAGAGCCCAGTGGCAGAAAATGCCTCTCTGCAGGGACGTTTTCCCATAACTAAATACCATACGTGGAAAATATCTCCCTCTCTCTCTATATATATATATCTATATATAATATTATTTTTTAATGGCCATGCATATTGTGTTTCAGTCCTTTTGTGTAGATGTTCTAAGCTTCAGGATAGAAGCCGGCAGCCTGATCTCATTCAGAGGTTAAATCAATGCCTTTTCTCCAAATGAGCATATAAAGAACACTTTTCATCATCCGTTCTTGAAAGGCCCCTTCTCCTTTGCACTAAATTGGTTTTGATAATACTGCAGCAGCCTTCCCGTTACTCTTTGGTCTCTTTCATGGTGTTCTGTCCTTTCTAGAAAGTTGAGTGTTTTTAATAATTATTATAATCCCAGAAGGAGTAAAATGACGTAATACTGAATGGAGACATTTTGTATTGTAAAGTACTGTAATTTTGAGATATAAGTTTCAAAAAGAGAGATCTTTTCCAGTGCAGATGTGATCTCACAAGATGCTTTCCTTGCCTATCCTGGCTCACCCCCAGGACTCGGATGCACTCAGCTCTTGGTGTGTCTGGCAAAGGTAGATGGAGGATCCGAGGGTGGAGAGTCATGGTTTGTATTAGCTAAACCCACCATTGCCTTTTGGTTTTAAACGATCGAGAAAGGAGCTTTCCTGACCCCAGAAGGTTGAAGTTTCTGTTTGCTGATGTCCTTTCACCATCCTGAGGCTGGACCTCCCGTAGCATCAGTTCCACACGTACCTTAGGGGACAGGCCATGCCCTGCGGCGCTGGCAGGACGCGGGTGCTCTTGGCTGTCTCTGCGCTTTATTTGCACATTCCAGAGGAGCTGCTGGGATTGAGTTCATCCCTGACAGCGCTGCCTGCCTGTTGTGTCCTCTAGTGAAACCCTCCCAGTTCGCTGGTTCCCAGAGAACAGGTTTGGGTCCCTTCTTTTGTGGGGCTGGTGTTCCTCCTCCTCCTTCTTTTACCTGCATTTCCGGCACATCCAGCTGTCGAAACCCTCTGTCTCAGAGTGCCCCGTCTGCCGAGGGTCTCCCTGGTTTGGCTTTGGTCCTTGCCTCTCTGCCATCCTCCCACCCTGCCATGTGGTGCCCGTGCCTGGTGCTGAGCTTCCCTGAGCCTCCCATGTGTCACGGACTGTGAGGATGGAGGTGGTGCCGCTGCCCTGCCCGGTGCTCCCGAGGTGTGTGCTCGGCTGGAGCCTGGGATCTGCTCCCGTGATGGTGAGGGCAGAGAGCAGGGAGGAGGCAGCTCCAAGGTGCCCGTGTCCTTGCAGTGGGTAGTGGTGTGTGTGACACACTATGTCCCTCTGCCCTTTTGCTGAACCCAGGTGGATCGGTCCAATGCCCTGCTAGACCAAGACCTGTCATTTCTTGGATTCAAAGCACCCCACGTCCTTCCTCCTCCTCCTCCTCCTCCTCCTCCTCTCTAGCTGCAAAGCAGGATGCTTTTCCTTGTGTGTCCCATGACCCTGGGCTGGAAGTTTCTGGTGGCATTAATAGCAGGGACCAGTGTCCTGTCTCTCCCAAGAGGATCGCTCCAGCCCTGGGTCCTGGGTTCTGTTGGCTCTTCTCCTCCCTCTTCTGTGCCAGGGTTCTCGTGCAACTCAGGGATACCCCGGCACATCTTTCAGCAGCCTCTCTGTCCCTTCCCTTCTGCCACATACCCTGGGCACCCTCCCTTTTCCCAGTCATGCAGGGATGACTCTGGCCCTGGTGCTCCTGGAGGAGGGGCTGCTGCAGCCCAGCTCCAGTCCCAGTCCCTGCTCCAGTCCCATCCTGTTCCCACCCAAGCACTCCCTGCTCCTCACACCCTTCCGTGGCAGCGGGCACTGCACCACTGCCCTGTGCCTTGTCCTGGGTGTCCTTCAGGCCCTTCCCAACAAACCCCTTGTCACCAGGACATTCTCAGTGGAGAAAAATGGGGGAGTGGTTTCACCTTTTCATCCCTGGCTGCCTCCCAGGAGCTTGGCCTTGCAGTGCACCGAGTTCTGGCCGGTGACAAGGGATGTGCACTCCCACACCACGTTCCCCAGGTAAGGACTGAATGGAGCCAGTGTTCCACTTAGGAGACCCACTGTTGATCCTAATATGCAACTGTGAAAGCCAGAAGCCCCTGGCTGGGGCAGTGGGGGCCTGGCCCTGTGCTGTAGGGCAGCCACGGCTGCACTCAGCTTCCTTGACTTTATTGTCATTACCAATAATTGGAGTTGTTGCATGTGCCCCTACAAGACCCAATAGCCACTCTTTAAGTCTTTTCCTCCTTCCTAGAGAGGATGTTCAGCTTGTGGATGTGGGAAATCCGTGTCTGACCCACCACGTTCCAGTGTCATGGGGAAACGGGCTGTGCAATTATGTAAATAAAAGTGAGACAAACTTTGGGTTGTTGTGTTGTTACTGGGGGGGCCGAGCCTGCAGAGCCCAGCTGACCCCTGAGAGCTGGCAGGGCTGCCCAGGGCAGCTTCCCTGACCTGCCCCAGGAGCCCCGGCTGAAGGTTTCAAAGCTGGACAAAACCCATGACTTTTGGTCATTTTTGGGCTGTTTCTCTGGCAGTGCACAGAAGCCTCTGGGGTGTGGGCCAAACAAAGTGATGTTTGAATGAAGCAAAGAGTCCTTTGGCCCTTGGATGAGCCAGAGGGTGTGTGTGGGGCTGTACGGAGTGATCCTGATGCTCCCCGAGGTGCTGCCCTGCAGAGGCTCCTGGTGCTGCCCCCGGGAGTTGCCCGACCTGAGCCTGCCCGTGGCCCTCTGGCCCAGCCCCTCGCTCCAGGCTGGTGGGAGATGCTGGACGTGTCTGCCAGCCCAGGCTTTCACCCGAGCCCTGGTGAGGCCATGGCAGGCTCTGGATGTGTCTGAGTCGTATCCCAGCTGTGTCCAGGCTGTGTCTGAGATGTGTCCAAGCTCTGTCTGAGATGTGTCCAAGCTCTGTCTGGTTGTGTCCAGGCTGTGTCCAGGCTGTGTCCAAGCTGTGTCCAGGCTGTGTCTGGGCTGTGACATGCAAGAGCTGCTGCAGCTGCAGGGCAGGGTCCTGGCTCTGGCAGCTCACCACCAGCTGGCTCTGAGAGCCATCTGGGACCAGCACCGTGGCAGGGCCTGCAGGGCAGTGTGGGGCAGGATGCCTGTCCAGGGCTGGACATGGAACCTCGGGGCAGAGACCTGGACAGCCATCATTCCCTGTTCCATGGGGCGAAGAGGAGCCCCAACATCCTCTGCAGCCCCAGCCCTGCCCTCAGCCCCAGCCCTGGACATGTGTTTCAAAGCCTTGGTCACACCACTCTTGCAGAGTGGGGTGGAAATTGTGAAGCTGCACATTAAAAGTGCCCCTCAAAACACTGCAAAACCAATGCTGGATGCATTTCCAAGGCCCTGGACAAGGCTTTAGCCTTGGCCCAGACCTTGAATGAGCTTCCTGGCCAAGCTGGCAAATCAAGGGGCTTCTGGGCTTGTTTATGTCAAAAGAAAAAAAAGATTTAAAAGAAGAAAGTGCTGTCGTTCTGGAAGAAGGTTCACCCAGTCCTTTAAAATAAAACTGCTGCCACCCAGCAGTCTGCCAGGGCGAGGGGGAGAAAACACAGCGTAAAAGGAACAGAAATCCCAGAGAAAGGGCTCACTGGGTGAAAAGGAGACAGAGTTTAATGGGGAGGGCATTCAGTCCAGCTGCCTGGCCAAAGTACCAAATCCAAGCAGGCTTTGGAGCATCTCTGGCAGACCAGCTTGGAGAAAAGTGTGCTCAGTGAGGTGCCTCTGCTGCCCATTGCACCCCCAAGGTGCAATACTAGAATAGTAGATTTCTAATACTAGAACAGAATGATTTCATGTAGTATTGCACCAATACTATACAATTTTAATCCAAAAGCTGCAATTATGCAGCTCAGCTCCCAAAGAGTTGATTTTTTTGTATATATTTAATTTTTTGGACGGGTACAGCAAACAGGAACCATTAAACCTTTTCTCCCCCTTCAAACCACAAAATTCCAGTGAAGAGGATCCAGGGCACTGTTGGAAAATCCAGCTTTCCTGAGCTGGCTTTCAGAAAGGAATTTCTTCTTCTTGATTGAAGTAGGTGTCCCTCAATGTACAGCACAACTCCTTTGGGGTGTTTCCCAGGACAAGAGACAGAACCAAAGCTTACAAATTTTTTGCCATCTCCATCTCCAAACCTTCTGCCACGAACCTCTGTCGTGGTGTAACCCCAGCTGACAACTAAACATCACACAGCGACTCGATCACACACCCCCCCAAAAGTGGGATGGGGGGAAAAAAGGAAAAAAACTTGTGGGTTGAGACAAGAACAGTTTAATATTTGAAACAATGTAAAACATGATAATACTAATGACAATAGTAATCATAATAAAAAAAATAAAACCCAAGAGGAGCAAGCGGTGTCCAGTACAATTGCTCACCACCCAGTGACCTGTGCCCAGCCTGTGCCCCTTGTCACCTGCCCACAGAGGGGAGGAATTGCCCTGCTGTGAGCAGAGATCCATGGATTTCCCCAGTCTTGGTCCTACCACATTGGAAGAGGGTTAGAGCGGGGCTCTGGAGGAAGATAACTGGGCCTGACCCAGTGCTGCAACTCTTTGCAGCTGCTGGAGTAGACCAGGGAGACCAATTCTCTTGCCTGTGCCCAGGTGCCACCACAAAGATGACAACTGAGGTGGCACTAAGAGGGTCCAACCAGCAATGAGCCTGAAGAGGAATTCCAGGCTGGACCAAGGACAAGGTTCCCCTTCACTTACATTCACCTTCTCCTCTCCTAAGGGCAGGATTTAGCAGGATCCTGTGGGATGGGACCTCCCCAACTTTCCATGTCTGGCATGTCTCTGAATGTCCCTTCCTGCAAAATACCAGTTCTCCAGAGCAGATCTAGTGCTGTCCTGTGAGGAGCAGCTGAGGGCTCTGGTCTTGTCTCCTTTGGAGAAAAGGAGGCTTGTTGCTCTGCAGCTTCCTAGGGAGGGGATATGGAGAGGGAGGTGCTGAGCTCTGGAATCCAGGGACAGGACACCTGGGAATGGTTCAAAGCTGCTTCAAGGGAGGTTCCAATTAGACATGAGGGAGCATTTCTTTACCAAGAGTGTGGTCTGGAACAGTCTTCCTCGAGAGCTGGTTGGTGCCCCAGGCCTGTCAGTGTTTAAGAGGCAATTGGACGATGGCCTTAGTAACAAGCTTTACTTTTGGTCAGCCCTGCAGGGGCCAGGATGAGGTGATCACTATAGGTCCCTTCCAAGTGGAATATTCCAGTCTAGTCTGTTCTATGTGAGGAAAAGGAGACCTTGATGGGGAGAGATCAGAGAACGGCAGATCTGTGGGAATTGCCTCTCCTGTGGACTCCAGACCCTGCTCAGCTTTGTTCCTGCCTTCCTGGGCTGCCCCCAGAGCTGCTCCCAGTGCCCTGCTGCAAGAAATGTGCTTGGTGCACGTGCCAGTGACGAGTGGAGGGGAGGCAAGGAGAGGTTTGGGTGTGAGGGGAAGATAAGTGTTATCATCAGCACCCAGCCATGCTTGAGGGTTTTTAACTTCATCTTAATAGAAAAAAACCCGAGGCAGTGCTCCAGCACCTTTTACTACCTGCTGTGTTTTCCGTGGCCTTGGACAGAGCAGCTCTGCAGTGCCCTGGCACTCGGTGCCACCCGCCTGCCCTTGGCCCTCCTGGCACCAAGCTCCTCCATGCTCTGAGCCTCGGTGCTCTCCCTGCAGTCCCAGCTGAGGGCTGGGCGGGATGAAGGAGGCTCTGTGGTGGCATCCACCTCCATCACCTGCCAGTCCTCTGCTTGGTGGCCAGAGGAACCACGTGGGGAGAAGCCAGCAGGACACAGAAGAGCCCTACCAGTTCCCAGACCCACAGTGATGGTGTTTGCCTTTCCAGTCTCTCCCCTGCCCCCCCGTGCTCCCTCCACGTGTCAGGGGCACAGCTGGAGCCATGAGCCCGTCCCCACCCAGAGCCAGGGGTGCAGCCTCTCCCCAGGACACGAGGCCAGGCAGAAAGCAAAGATCGGGGCTTCATTTTCAGCATCAGCAAATGCTACCTGCTTGTCTCTGAAGTCCAGGCAGACCTGGATGGCCCTGGGGAGGTAGGCAAGGTGCAGAGGGGTCCAGTCAGGGTCAGTAAAAGCGTGGTATTGTCCAAACCACTGCCCCACGGCCCAGATCCCCTCCTGGGGGGAAAAGCTCAGGACCCCCTTCCTCCTGACAGACTCCTGGGCCACCCCCACAGCCCACCAGTCCCCCGCCTCAGCCACCTCCACCTGCCAGCAGTGTCTCCCCTCAGCAAAGCCCTGCCTGCCCAGCACACACGGCTCCGTGTCGAACCGCTCGGGGGTGTTGGGCAGCGACGTCCACTCATCCCCCCGGCCCACCCTTCGCTGGTCACCGGCCAGGATCAGGAAGGGGTTGGCGGTGTCTGGGTCCAGGGTCACGTCGGCTGGGGACAGAGAAGGAGAAGCTGCTCAGAACAGGCAGCCCCAGGGCTGCATCCCCCCCAGCAGGAGAAGGGACAGGGTGAGTTCTTTTCCCAGGGTGGGACACCCCTTCCTGCTGGACTGCCCCAGGCTCACTGCTGCCCCAGTCCTGTCCCTGCCCCAGGAGCTTGCACACATCCTGGGCAAGGAGACCCCCATTCCCTGGGGGAGGATGCGCGTCAGTGGGTGGGTGCACATCTGCAGTGCAGACACCTGGACCTGAGCCTGGCAGTCTCTGGGGCTGCAGGAGCAGAACAGGCAGGTCAGGGCACAAACCAGTGCAGACTGGATAGATGTTACCCCAAGACCCAGAACCCGTGGCCCCAAAATCCTGTTTCTTTCTCCATGCAAAGGAAGGGGCCGAGGATGTCACCTCAGGTGTCTTTGGTGCTGGTGGAGGCTCAACAGATCAGCACGAGAAGCTCAGCTGGGGGTGTGGCAGCCACCAAGTCCCAAGCCATGACAAGCCCAGGCTGGGACAAGCTCCAGGTGCTTTCACCCTACTTCTTTCAAAGCAGAAGCAGGATGGGAGTGTTTTCCCCTCAAGAAGGGAAAGTTCTCCTTCCTCTTCCCTCCTGAAACTCACCTCTTCCACTCATCTCCTCCACCTCATTCCCCAAGGTCTCACTCTCTTCTCTCTCCAGCCTGGATGCCAGCATATGTACAGAAAATCAACAGCAGGGCAGGAAGGATTCCCTGTTGAAAGTGACAATGGCAGGACTCGGAGACTGCCCAAAGATGACAAAGCAGAGAAGCAAGGATGGAAAGGTCACATGATTTCAGCACTTTTTAGACAGTCAGCACTCACCTGCAGGTTGGCTGCAGGAAGGGAGGTTTGGGATGAGTTGGCAGGTCTTCAGTCTGCTCCCCACTGCCCTGATCTCCTGCTCAGCTCATGGCTGGCCTGAGCTTGCCCAGCACTTGCAGCTTGTTTGAGTGAGCAGAGCACAGTGCAGAGGGGCTGGATGGCCTGGAGAGCACAGCTGGGACTGGGAGTGTGTCTGGGGGACCACTCCATGGAGCTTCTCCCTCCCCTCCTCTGGGCAATGGCCCCCCCGTCCTGAAGCTTCCAGCCCACGTGTGACCTCATGTAACACTCGAATTTGGCTGCTCTTCCTGCTCCTGCAGTGCCCAGCCCTGTCTGCAGCACAGGCTCTGCCACACGGCCCCTCCCTCCTGCAGCTGCAGGGGGGTGATAAAGCCCCTGAGCTCTGCAGGAGCTGCTGTCCTTTGCTGGACACATCTGTGTCACTGGAGACATCCCTTGCTGTTTCCCTCTTTTCCTTGTCACCCCTTTTGGCCAGGTCCCTGATCAGCTCCCTTTGCCCCAGCAGGTGCCCCCAGGCCTGACTGGGCTGGGAGGGGACCGGAACCCACAGGGCTGAGCGCCCACGGGCACTGCCTTTGCCTCCCTCAGGGCAGCAGCTTTGCCTCAACCAACCACCCTCCATGGCCTTGCCTCTGGGCTGGCAATTGCTTTGAAGCAATAGTGAAGCTGCTGCTACTGGGCTTTGCTCCCACCCACTGCCTCTGGGTGTGAATCCTGGCTCCATCACCTCCCTCCTGCCCACTGCCTCTGGGCTCATGCCAGGGATGTGCAAAGTGCTGCCACATCTGTCCCCTCCTGAGCCCAGGGAGCAGCTCGGGAGGACGCTGTGACACACAGCCCTGGAGAGCCCCAGGAGAAGGGGTGTGCCTGTGCATGCTGCCAGAAGGGCATGTCCAGATTAAAAACTCCCCAAATTACTCAACAACTTTCACTTTTGACAGGAGGCAGCACCAGAGAAAACAGGTGTCAGGCTGGGACAGGGTGATAAGTTTTTTGGTTTTCAGACAGCTCAGCTGGGATCAGGAGGCCCCTTCAACACTCTTGGTGACAGTCAAGTAGCTCCTGCTCCAGCCAGAGCCCAGAAAAGAGCTCAGGATCTCCAGGTACGTGGCGTCTTTGGGGAAAGATGGGATGGAAATTGCCCTCTGCCATCTGCCAGAACCAGCTCTGGTTTCCATGTCCTGTTAGCAAAGTGGAACCAAGTCAGTGGCAAAAAGGGGGGATGGGTGGAGAGAGCTGAGCAGAGCCAGGTTGTGTCTTGGCTGGGCCTTGGATTAGTGTTTGGACTCTTTGGCTTCTCTTGCTCCAAAGCCTTCTCCCACTCTCAGGGAGGTGCAGGCAATGAGTCCTGACTCGCTCAGGGTTTGTCCTTCAAGTCCTGCCCCTGTGCGTCTCTTTCTTAAGGCTGGATCAGAACAGCCAGGGCTCCATAGGAAAACAACTGCCCCTTTCTGCTGGAATTGGAGGAAATGATGCAGCTTGTCCTTTGCTTTCCCATGGGAAATTCCCACCACTTTTGATGCCAGTCAGGTCCTTTGCCTATAAAGCTCTAACCAAAGTCAGTCTGATGAGGGAAAATCGATTTCAACCTTGGGC